TCCTTGTATTTGATGAATGGGACACGTTTTGAGCCTCACAGACCACTTTGAGACCGCTTGTGTGGGGGTCAGATGCAGGTAGCTTGATTGGGTCTAGGTGCGGAGGGATGTGGTTGGTCATGCCAATGTGTGCGAGCAAAGACTAGCCCGGTAAGGTATTTTGAAGACATTGAAGATATTGAAGACTCGCATCTTGGTTTTGGAGGGAGTACCCCTTAGTACTCCCGAGTCTCGTCCGAGCCTTGTTTAGTTAGATTCTCACCGCCTTTTTAGGATAGGTTATCATTTTCCTAGGGGTCTAGAATAGATAGTTAGATAGATTTTGTTTATCACACCTTGCATTGAGGTGCTTGATGAACTTTGAAGTGGGTCCCCCAATTCACATCTTTTGGGACCAAGTCTTTTCGGTAACACCCATTTTTGAGTCATTTCCCACCCTTTTTAGTTGATCTTGGCACATTGTCAATGATCATTAGGTGTTCATATTAGCCTCCATCTATCACTCAATTTTCACTATTGGAGTCCTATGTTACTTGGTGAAAATCCTTAGACCTTCCAAGAAGCAACACAAAGAATGAAGAAATTTGAAAAAGTGAAGAAAATAAGAGCCTTTTTAAAGATGATTCAAGAAAAGCAACAAAAACAAAGAAGAAAAAGAGCAACACAAAAAGAAGAACAAGATTCCAAGTTCGAGACTTATGTTATATATCTATTTTGCAAAAAAAATATAATAAAAAAAAAAGAAAAGAAAACCTGGATGTCAAGCAGCAAATGTGATTGAAGACCCAATAACAGAAGTTCAAGATTGAAGATTTAGGTTGTTATGTTTAGATTTAGGTTAAGTATAATTTTTATTATTTTATGTTATTTTTAATTAATGGTGAGAAAAGGCCCCGACGATGAGACGGTAGACTGTAAAAGACAGTACAAGGGAGAAGCCTCTGAAACCGGATGTTTGCCCGGAGGCCGTGCTGCAAAACCCTATTTTGTTATTATACACTTTGGCCTGACAAATGTAGGAATCATAGTGTGTGAAGAGGCGCCTTTCCTTCGTGCACTATGGTCTACATTGGTGATTTAAAGTGCCCCCACTGGGCGCATCTCTGTTTCCTTTGTCTTGCACACCGCGACCGCATCCAGCCGTGATCTATTCGCCCATCAAGTGGTTGAGAATGTGGTTTATGGCTCTAAAGCGGGGAACATTTTGAAGATGCGTAGGGTCCATGAAGGACTAATTCTGACCATGTTGACCGATGTTGACCAAGTTCTATGGTATCTTTCTTTTTCCTTTTTAGATAGTTCATCCCGAGCTCATTTTTAGTCTTGTTCTAACTTGAGGACAAGTTAGGTTTAAGCTTGGGGTGATTCAAAACTTGATCGGGGATGTCAAGCCCACCAAGCAAATTACACCCTTTGATTGCTAAATAAACGTAATATAATGGTAAAAAGGGGTATCGATCCTCGGGGGAAATGGTTGTATTCAATCACCAATGCAATTCAATAGAACTAGTGAAATTAAACTAACTAACTACAATTAAAATAAAAGGGGGGGGGGGTGTTTGATTACTTGATAACTAAAATACTTGAATAACTAAAAACCTTGCAATTAAGCAGTTGATGAGATGCTCAAAGGTTGGGAATAATTGGTTAACTAAGGCAATTCAACACAATGAACATTTGTGTGTTTATCATTAGGATCTAATACAAAGCTTATCCTTCATCCCAAATTGGTTATAGCAATCATGAAGCATGATATGCCAAGATTCCTCATAGGTAGTATGGAGGTTGGGGAAGCCCACAACACACCTTCTTAATTAAGATCAAGGGTCAATTGAAGCAATTAATCCCAAGAAATCAATTAGCCTTAAGAATGAAGGAATCCCCAATTCCTAGAGGATGTCAAATGCTTACACATCCATAAAGGAGATATGATTCATAAGCTAGAGATGATTTCTACCATCATAAAGCCTTTGTTCTAGATAAATTCAATGATCCAATGCAAAATCAATGAAATAAATCAACTATTGCTCAATCAAATACTAAGCTCATGATCAAAGTATCAAATAAGCATAAGAATTGCAAACTAGAATCATAAACATGGAATAAATTGATAATCAACATAAATCCTTCAAAACCCACAAACATTCATTGGTTTTCAGCCAAAGTTAACCAAATAAGAGTATTAGCCACTCATGGCAACAAAGTAACAAGAACAATAATCTATTTGCATAAAGAAACTACCTAAGATTTGGAAAGATGAAAGGAAATGGTTTCTAGCTCCCAAAATCGCCTCTTGCAGGTCTCCAATGGTGGAAAATCGTGAATGAGCTTCTAGATCTGATCCCCAAGGGTTATGGCAAGCCAAATGATCAAAATGCCCAAACTGGGCAGTTGCGCGGGTACCCGCGCGACGGAAATTTCACCCGCGCAAATGTTGTTGTAATGCTATTGGTCCACCAAGCCACTCCACCCTTCCACTACCAAAGATTCCTTTGGTCCCCCCTCCTTGTCCATGTAATTTGAAATGCACCAATCATCATTTAGCCACCAAATGGATGCTCCAAGCCCAAAATTTGAATTTTATGATCCATCTTCACAAGCCCAAATAATCTAAGCCAATAACTTTCAAAGCCCAATTCTTCCTCTTTGATTCCGCCAAGCCCAATAATGCCTCGGGAGCCCACTAAGCCCGTCTCCGATCAACCCGCAACCGCAACAAGCACCGAAAAAAACCTACAAAATATCTTATGCAACATAACAAGCACCCGGTACGATCCATACTAAAGAAAAATAAATAAAATAAAATGCATTAATGATAAAAAGATCTAAAAATCTAAAATAAACTAATAAAAATAAGGAAATAAAATATCTTTGTTTAAAATACAAATGTGATATATTGATTTATAAAAGTACTTGAATATCTAATAAAAGTAGCTTTCGTGTTTTTCATTGGCACTAATTTTTTCACTCCTACATGCTAATCATTTGTTTTTTTTTTAAGTATTTATAATATTTGAGTGTAAAATTATTTTTGAACTTGCAATTCCATGTAAGAAACCAGGTTTACGAGTGTTTGAAGGATTCAAAGTGGGTTTTCATCTAAGATCATGGGAAATTGTGAGAATTTATATTATATTTTATAAATCATGATTAATTTGAAGTTATATTGTGAGAATTTATATGATATTACAGGTAAGGAGACGTACTTCCATTTTTTGGTTCTTTAACTTAAAATTTTGTTAGAAAAGTACTATTTTACCCTTTGTTTACTTTATTACGCTTTGATACAGACCAGAGTGATGTATCGCTCTATATGAGAGCAATTGCATCCCTTTCACATTAAGTAAAAAACTATTTTAATTTTTAATTTTTTTAATTGGATTCTATTTTAATTTAATTTTTTAATTGTTTGTAATTTTTAATGTTTCTCCAGATACCGGTTTGGATGTTAATTTGTTTGGTTCAGGGGCAACCGGGTTGTCTTCAACATTATTGAACATTTATTGGAGATGTACAATTATTTTATATATCTATTATTCTATATTTCATCATGACTCGATTTTTAATAAAATTTATAAAATTTCAGGTGAAGCTAGTGAGAATCCGTAAAAGCAAATACAAATATTATTTTTGTACAATTCTACCATATTCCTAATTTGTTTTAATGATTTAGGACCATTTCACCCCTCCTGCATCATCTATGATTTTGGACGATTTTACCCCTCCGCCCCCCATTTGTATTGAAATGCTTATCTGTTGCCAAAGAAAATATGAATAAGAAAAAAACATAATTTTTTTGAAAATATGATACAATATTCAAAAGTACAATGCGTAAATAGTTAATTGTTTTACCTTTATTTAAAATACAGATGTGCTACATTGGTTTATAAAAGTACTTATATAACTGATTCATTCTTATCCTTCTCATCCAAACGCAATAAGAAAATAAAAATAGAGGATTTAAACCCCGTGCCAAATTAACCAGACAAACAAAAAAAGCACATTTTGTTTTATCTTTAATAACCCATCATTTTATTACCATAATCAACAATGTTCTTTAAAAAGCAAAATATATGATTACTTTTTTATAATTAAAATAAATTTGTAATTGATTTTAATGATTTTGGACCATTTTACCCATCCTGCATCATTTTTTATTTTGGACCATTTTACCCCTCCGCATTTGTATTGAAATGTTTTCGTGTTGTTCTATCTTGTTTGATCCATACTTTCAACAATATTTGAACCCATTAAAATGCTTAATAGATTAAGCACTTAGTCATAAAAGTTGTCTGATCCACACTTTCAATCATATTTTGTCAATCTATCCACCGGACGGGTATGACATTAGTTGGATTTTATGCTTATTTTAACACATGAAGGAAAATATAACAACAAAAGCAATTAAAACAAAAAAACACTAAGATCTAAGTATGGATATGTTTTCCTAAAAAACCTGCAACAATTTGTGATACAATGATTTCTTCTCATTGTATCAACAGAAAAAGAGTAAATTACACGAATGGTCCTATGGTTTATGATAATTTGCGCATTTGATCACTAACTTATTATTATTTTTTTTAATTCGGAAGGTTCATAGTACTTGTTTTTGTTACACGTTTGGTCCCTATCATACATAAAAAGACTATTTTGCAATTGTTTTTTTAATTTATTTAAATAAACACACCCCAACCTCATCCTTCTTACCTTAACTTACTTATATCACCATTTTTCCCTTGTTAAATAATAATCGTTTTAGGTAAGAGATGGATCAAACATGTAACAAAAACAAACAATAAGGATCGAGTGCGTAACAAAAACAAAAAATAGAAACATTTCGAATTAAAAAATAAGTTAGAAACCACGCACAAATTACCCCAAACCATAGGAGATCATTCGTGTAATTTACTCAACAAAAAAATGAAATTAAAGTTAAAGCAAGAACTACAACAAAAAAAACTATATGATTAAATAAGAGGACGATAGTCGAAGCATATAGGGTATTTTTGGAAAAGGGAAAAAAGAAAAAACAAAGATAGGCTGTTTTAAAGGGGGCGTTATTGAAAATATATATAGAATTCAAAGGTATCAGGCAAAGAACATATGCACAAGAACCCAAAAACAAAACCTAGCCACATAACACACTTGAGAATCATTTGATACTGAAACGAAGTTGGAGATAATGCCATGGATGCTAAGGACGTCGATATGATGGATTCCGATGCTCCGGTGACATCTTCGTCACCAGTTCCTCCGGGAACCGCCGAACTTTCCTCCGTCTCCCAGCAAATTGAAATTGCGAGAGGATTACTCACAGTAGCTCGCCAACTCATTGATCAGGGCAAGCCTTCTCAAGCTCTTCAAGCGGTAATTCTTACACTATCACCACTTCACTTCTTTCTTATAATTTATTGTTGCTTCATTTCCCTTTTTATCTGATTCGAAAGCCAGCTGTTATGAACAGACCTACATTTTGACTTGTTGATGTGATCGGAAAGAAATTTCGTAATGATTCCGTTGCTAAACCTCAACCTACATGATCCAATTTGTATTACTTATTAAAAATTCAATATCAATGCATTTGTTTTGTTTATCGCAAAACGGCGATCAAACTTCAAATTCAAAATCTAGGTTTTCTATAGAATAGAGGAAGCAAAGCACTTGAACTTGCTTCGATGCTATTGAATCAAACTTTTCTTTTTCCTCCGCGATCGGTTCCTTGTATTTGGTTCTAATCGCTTTGATTTTCTTGTGTTCATCTTAAAGTCATTACATGATTTGCCTTCAGAGTTGTTTGATAATGATACGGCATCAACTGATATTTGTAATTTTACAGGTGTTGACTGCGATGAGAGCCAAAGGAGGAGAAGCAGCTGCTGTTCAAACCCTAAATCGAGCTAATGAACTCTACAGAAACAGAGTAAATGAAAGGGCTGCTGATGAGCTAGCTTCGTTGTTTGCTGAATGTGCAATTGAAGAAGCTTTACCTGCAATCCCCACAACCACCACCACCACCACCACCAACCACCCATCTATTGAACCAGATGCTGGCGGCACTTCTATACTGACAGAGACTGGGAGAAAACAGATCATGGTGGATGCATTCTCTGATGGTAGTAGCTTTGTGTGTGTACAATGTGGTGGCCTTGTTAGCAATGATCGCAGGGATGAACACTACGCATTCTGGTGTGGCCGTGTGTAAATGGTGAGATCCAGTTTCATGGTTTTTTCATGATATTGACATGTAATGGTTTTAGGTGTAATAGAACATCTCTTAAAGCGAATTGAATTTGCATATATGCAAATAATAAACCAACATAAATCGGTTTATACAACTTTCATGAAAAGATCAGCTGATTGTTGATGAAACTTTGAGCTGGAAGGCATAAGGGCATGATTGGTCTGTGGATTCCGGTAGAATCCGATGGAATTGGAATCAGAGTTTCCATTCCATAGTTTGTTTGGTTGTTTAAATGGAAAAAATGTAGTTCTCTGTCGTAATCCTTCAAATGTTGTGTTTGATGGATTTCATCATTCCCGAGGGAGAGTGGAATGAAATGAATTTGCGTATATGTACAATGAGCATAAACCTATAAAATAGAAATATAAATTCTTCCAATTTTCAATTTTTTCGTGTTATGGATCCTTTGATAAAATCGTTTCAAAATATTCTACGAACCAAACATAAATCCTTATAAAACAGTGAGGGCAGTGGATTCCATCAGCAACCTATTGCTAAGTATGCTTGCAATACGTATGTCTTTAAACTCTAAGTTAAATGTGTTGTATTTGAACAAAATATGCATGTACAAGATGATTTCTTTCATTGTATTCAAGAGCTTAAACGGAAGATAATATTGAAAACACTCTTGACAAGAATTACATGTTTGTATTTTTTTGTTATCAATAAGGATGACATCTACAACACGTGGGTTTCACTACAAGCGAATTATGAATACAACTAACAAAAAAAAAAAAAAAAAAAAAAGAAACCAGGAAACACATCTACATGTTCTTCTCTTGATCCAAGGGAAGGAAGACATCGATCTAAACACCAAATGAAGAATATACAACACCAACCACCACCAATATGAACCTTTTTTAGTGTCTATGATACATGACTTCGGGTGCCAATGATCGATTCTTTGATCTCATCATCGTTTCATCGCTATGCCTTATGAGTTCCGACAGCCGCCATGGTTTCTGCCACTTCCATTTAAATTGAAGTAGCCATTGATGGTGGCTCCTCTTCCACCGCCATAGTTTCCCCGCAGAATGTCCTCCTGTTGCTGCCTTCCTCAGCCCCACCGGCACCATCTTCCGCTTCTGGTCTAGAAACGCCGCCGATTCCCTCACTAAACCGTTGGCTATTCCCGCCGTGTATTTCAACTGTTTAGGTGCCGGAATGGAGTTCGGAGATAACGGACCGCTCATGTCATCCGCCAAGTGTTTCAATGAATTCTGAGACTGAGAGTTTCCCTGTTTCGTCGTCAGTATAGGAAAATACTTTGATGGTTAAACAGATAGCAGATAACAGTTTTCTTACTGAAGCTGACGAAGCCAATGCGATTGCGACAGCGAGCTCCTTCTCGGCTTCCTTTCGTCTAAACTCACTTTGTCGGAGTAACCCCACGAGCTCTTTTAGTTGTTCTTCCATTTCCTTTATTTCGAGATCCTTTTCCCATGATTGACACCTATTTTACACATTATATCAATAAAAATGTTATTCAATAAGTCGAAAAAATTATATTTTTGAAAATCCATTTTTTTTACCTTGAATCTACCGAAGAGTTGAACATATATTGAAGCAAGTTCTTTGCGTCTGCCATTGACCGGAGGTGGTTCCATCTTCCACGGTTAGCAAAACCGCGTTCCCGTTCTTCTGCTTCGGATAATTGTGAAGCCATGGACACGAGTGAATTTGATGAAATACTTAACATATTTTCCAATGAAGATATTCTTGAAATTCTTGCATTTGGTGACAAAGAACATGCCCTTTAATAAATAATTAAATCACAAAAACCCAAAATTAGTAAAAAATGGTTGATTGAATTGGATTTACTAAGAATTACAATTTTACCTAGAGAAACCGTTCTTTCCTCTTGGAGGGCTAACACCTTTTGAAGCAAATTCATCAACTTGTCTAAGAACCGCTAGCTCTTCTGCAAGTGCAGCCCGTCTGAAGAAAATTAAAAAATTAATTAAATATATTTGTGAATGATAGTAATTACATAACAAATTTACAATTTACAATTTACATACACTTGGCTTTGTTTCTCATATTCTTGCCTAACTTCATGTACATTCACCATCACTTCAAGTTCATGATCAAGCCAACGCTTCATTGCCTTTTCATTATTCTAAAAACCAAGCATAATTATTAATGTCAACTCAAGTCCCTTGATTTATCAAAATTACAAGATAACCCCTTGGTATTTACCTGTCCATTTGCTCCATTCCCGTTGCTAGTCACTGCATATATGAAAGAGATTGATGACATTATGATCAGGATTTTTATTCAGAAATAAAATTAATAATATAATAAAAGAAAAAAAAAATTATACATGAATTGTCACGGGTAGACTTGCGGGCTTCTAGCAATTCTTTTAGCCTCTTGGTTGCCATTGCAGCTTCTTCTGTCTTTCGTTGAAGAACCTAGAAAATGTGAAAATAATTGAATAATTATTATATTTAATAAGATATTGTAACACAAAAAACAAATATACTAAAAAAAAAATCTCACCATCTTTTGACGTTGATTAAGAGCCTGCAGTTTGTGTCTTTCGTACTCGTTCCTTCTTCCTTCTTTCTTTAGCTGGAATTAAATGGAAAAAAATAGAAATCATAATTTACAACCATATTTAGACTAATTTAAGTCATATATATATATATATATATATATATATATATATATATATATATATATATATATATATATATATATATTATCATAAGAATATACCTGTAGTAGTTCTTTTTCACGAGATGCTTTCCAGTGTCTGAATTGTTCAGCCTCTTGTTTTATCTTATGCTGTAGTTGAACCTATCATAACCATATTTAAATTAGCAGAAAATTTACTTATATAAAGAAATATAATAATAATAATAATGATCTTTTCTCACCTTTTGTGCCTTGATGAACTGTATTTCATCTTGTAATCTCTTTGCTGCTTCATCACTCTTTTGTTTTTGCCTCAAAAGCTGAACTTGGTTCTCTTGTTTCTTCTTAAGATCCTGAATCTGAGATTCATAAAATTTTTATAATTATATCAAGATTGTTGATTTGATACATTTGAATACAAATAGGCATAAATTTTTTTAATTATAACAAGATTATTAACCTGTGATTCAAGAGACTTCAATTTGTGGGAATGCAAATCTTGCATTTTTTGTGATTGTCCATCTGAAGAAGCAGAAAGGTTTTCAACTTCAGTTAGCAATCGATCCCTCTCTATCTGCATCAATTATAAAAATGAACAAGAGAACATCAATCATCAAACTTTTTTTTAAAAAAAATTTACTCCAACTTTAAAACTATATTTTTTTTTACCTGGACTGCCCGTTTTTCATCCTCAAGTTCCATTAATTTCTTTCCAAAATGTTGCTTAAGAGTCATGGTATCAGATCCTTCAAAAAGTCTCATTTCTGATTCTTTCTGTTCTAATCGTTTATTTAACTCATGTAACTCTTTATCCATGGAGTCTTGGAGAAGTGTATGCTCCAATTCTTTTGCTGTTTCTTCCTCTATCACACCAGAATCGCCTAAATTTTATTGTCATTAAAAAAAATATGAAATACAAATAACTCTACATTCGTATAAAAAAACAAAAAATAAAAACATACCACTTTCACTCATCTGATAATCTAATGAATCGATACTTTGCAAACCCCTTTTAAGCCCTTCATTTTTCACGGAAAAGGAATCACCAACCTAAAAAATTGGCGCATAATTTGTTACTTTTTTATTTTATAAATTGCGACAAAAGTTATAAATGTTTACATACTTTAGCGACAGATTGATGATCAATAGCGATGCCTCTGCTGCGATACTCATGAAGTTCGCGACACAGATCCTGATTAGTAGCTTCAAGCCAAGAAATCCGCTCCCTTAGAACCTAAACAACGTTTATGTGACGCAATAAATTTATACGAAATTAAACTATAAAGATTTACTATATAAAATAAATATAATATTCATATTATAAATTTATAATTTATACCTGTAATTCAACACTAGAACCTCCACCACGAGCACAAAGTTCTGCTTGCAAACATTCTAGTTGTTGGCGCATCTTTAACATTTCACTAGACACCGGATCCCTATTCACCTATTAAAGTGTTTATAAAAGTATTTATTTATTTGTGTAATTTGTGTATTATAATATCTCACTTTTATTTTTTTTCTATAATAAGAAAATAAATGAAAGTAGGTTACTATTTCTTGCATATAACCCTAAACTTACCACAGGCTTATTCTGGATATTTCGAGCCCGGTTTGCGTATTTTAATGTGTTGAGAGTCTCCTCAGCATTTATATCAGCAGGACTAACACAAGCTGAAATTAGGTAAAAAATTATATGTTTACTTAGTACAAAAGATTTTAAATCAGCTTAAATAATAAACAAAATTATAAATTATAAATTAGTGTTTGGTTTATACATATATGTTACCTATCATAACAGTTCTGCTGTTCCCACCAAGTGAGTCCTATCATTTTCGTAAAACATATTTAGATTAAACTAAAAACAATAAATCAAGTTGCATAAAAAAAGTAGTTTAAGTAATAATGTTGAACCTGTAAAAGGCGAGTAAGTTTACTATCTCTATATGGAACATGAGCACCTTCTTTTCGTTTTTTCTCATCACCAAGGGCACTTATGACATTTCCAAGTGCGAGAAGCCCCTTGTTAATATGAACTCCTGTTCAACAAATTAAGGTATCAAGTAGGGTTGAGGATGAGGGCATTTATGTCTTTTTGTCTTGATAAATATCATCGCTTACCTTCTTTGAACCGCATACCATCAGAACCTGTTCTTTTAGCCCTTTCTGAACCAGCAAGATCAACTAAATGCAACTTGGCACACAAATATTCATCGCACATTGAATCATTCGAGATTGTCTTGTTCATTTGTTCAAGTGTGATTGTGAAAATTGCATGTGAACGACTACATAAAAAGTTCAAAATGTCAGAGATATATTTTTATTATATGACATATAATATAATACTATGATACATTCAAGATTAATTAACCTTGATTGATTATTCATATTTGTACTTCCTGTTGCTCTGCTCAATGACCCATGTTCAAGGCAATCGCTCATTTCTTTTAATGTCTTAACGCTACATTCAGTAGATCCAGCAAGCGTTATGACACCATTAGAAGTTTCCCGGATTTGTATCGGTGGTTTTCCTGGAAGATTCACTTTCCCATTCTGCCCGTTTGATGATATCTCAGATTTAGTATCCAGCAAGTCTCGCACTTCTTCTTTTAGAATCTTCAGAGAAAAATCATTCAGTTAGGTTTTATGGAAGAAAGCTATTTGCAATTCTAGTTAGAGGTAGAAGAAAACACACCTCGATGAAGGAAACATGCAACTGGAACTCTGTTTGATCCTGTAAGCTTTCGATTTTGTTGAATAAAGCAGTCATGGCTTGTGGAATAAGCCCGGCTTGGTAACCATCTTTGAATCCGGTTCCCATGGTGTATGTCTTTCCTGAACCGGTCTGTGAAATTAGAACACGTCAAGAACTATGATAAACAAATAGGATATATTTTTTGTTTACTTGAATCATGAGAAATTTATACCTGGCCATAAGCTAGAACAGTAGCATTATATCCTTGAAACAAACCCTCAACAAGAGGAGAAACACAGTCTTCAAACATGGCGGAGGATGGGGAACCAGAGCTTCCATAGACATGATCGAAAGTGAAGGAATGTGTACCAAGTTGCACCTGCAACATAAACAAAGACTAATCAATTTCTCGATCATCAGAACTGATACTGAGATCTACCAGATCTCCGGTAACACAACTCGAACACGGTTTACACTAAAATCGAGGATCGATTAAATAAATAAATAAAAAAACCCCAATTAGAAGTGTAGAATCCATTACAACAGAGTGAGGAATTCATCAAAATTAAGTGACATTGCGCTTAAATGAAGGATAATCGACCTGGGGTTTTCCGGGTACGACGGCGACACAATCTTTACAAGCTTGAAGCTTCTCATCTCCGATAAGGGGTCGTATATGTACCGCTACCTTCACACAACAATCGTCCGCCGCCGCCGTCGTCGTCGTCGCCGGGGTCGCTTCCATCATGTGAAAGGTCGGAAAGAAAGTGGTCCAGGAAACAGTTATAGTTACAGAGAGAGAAAATGAAGACGAATTCTCTGTATCTTCACAGAAATGAAGTAATTTTATGGAGCCCAGAAAGTGATTCAGCAACCTCTAAACAGAGAACGGACCAAATCATCCAACGCACACAAACAGAAGGGCAGTTTGGGAAAGAGAATATGTGTGTGTGTGTTTAGTGTTTACACTAGAGACTAGACACTAGCCATAAGCTTCTGAAACACTCATTCCGAAACTACCCTTCAACGGCTTTCGGTGCCCGGGTTGCTAGTAGGTGTTGTTACATTTTTGCCCTTCGCGATTTCCCGGGAATAATTGATAATAAATAATAATAAATTAGTAAGTAAAGGAAAAAGAAAGAAAGAAAGCAAAAGTAGGTGGATAACAGTAACGCAGAAGAAAGCCACGTGATTGAGGAACAGGAATCCCACGCGACGAGTGTTAAGGCACGTGGACGTACGCCTTCCATGTATGTCATCACATGTACATACATATATACATACATACATCATAAACGTCATGCTGGGTGATGTTGATGTATCCTAGTAACCATAGTAATCAATGGACAAGATGGTAACTATGGAATATTCCTTTTTTTTTTTTTTTTTTAATTTATTTTTAAATATATTTACTCGTTCTCTTTAAAATTTATAAATTACATATTTAAAATATAGATAGATTATATAAATCTAGCTATAAATTCGTAAAGAAAATGATCCAACCAAGGTTAATATATGTTTATATGTCCATGAGTCCATCTCTTTTCTTAGACGAGACGGTATGAGTTAGGAATTATTCGTTATGAGTAATGTGGACACGCCATAATAGCGTTGTAACGGGGAACACTACTCTCTTCTCGTTGCTTCTCGCTATGACAAATCTAGTGTCCGTTACCATTGATTAAAACACGATAATTTTAGACATTGGTGTATAATGGACTGTTGCAAACGGTCAAAACTTAATTTTTTTTTTTAAAAAGCTTACTCTTTTATCTATATAAATACACATTTCAACCTTTTTTAACCTTTCTCCCATTCTCACTATATCCTATATAAATACTTTCTTCTCATTCAAAAAAATGGAACAAAACCCAAACACCCCCCCCCCCCCCCCTTCTCCTTTATCATCAAAACCCAAACAAACAACCAAACACAACTCCGTCTCTTGAATTCGGGGGTTATGAAAATTATTTCAACATTTTATCCTCTCAAAGATCACCACAAATCTCATACCAAAGCGCTGCTTTCAATCTCACTTCACCATCACTGTAATATCTCAACTCACCTTACCTTCAACAAAATCTATTTGGTCAAAACTTAAATTGACAACAAAATATTTTCCCTATTTTTGCTTCGATGCAACAAACAACCACCCAACCACCACCTACAACACAACCATCGGTTGAAGTGGAAGCAGGAGGTAGTAGGAGAGAGAAAATGAAAGGAAAATCGATAGCGGGTGAAACGGAAAATATAAACGTTTCACACTGGTGGACACCGTATGAGGAATATGCTTTGACGGCGACATGGTGTACTACTTCAAAAGACGAACTCCGTGGAAATTGAATGAATAAAGGAGCTTATTGGGGGGCAGTGCACGACAAATTTCACGCTATTTTGAAGAAAATACCGTACCGCAACAATGACATGTTAAGCAGCAAATGGAGCCAAATAACTAAACGGTGCAATAAAATCAACGGTATTTACAACCGGCTTGAGGCGCAACAACAAAGCGTAACCAACAACTTCGATTTGTTCCAATTTACAAAAGAATAATATCGGGTCGAAATGGGACATGTTTTCGAGTATGAGAAATCATGGGAGTTGTTGAGGGTGGATCCAAAGTGGAATAAAACGCCTACATCGTCGGAGGTTCAATCCAAAAGGTCTCACAGTTCGAGCTCGATCGATGCGTCAAACGCACAAACTCACATCGACCTAAACTCTGACACCGATGAGATCCTGGATGATATCGATGAGATATCCCGACCACAACGATCGCCCAGACGCGACAAAGCGAGGCGCGCTGCAAGGCATGCGAAGGAGATTGAGGTGAAAGCAAAAGAGGCGATGGAAATAAGAGTGAAATTCGATGAACACAATTTATTAATAAAAGAAAAAAAATGACTTGAAATGTTGTCATTTGGAGTTCCTAGAAAGGCAAACATGGGAGAAGCATGGGCAAAAAGAGAAAGAACTAATGACACATCATTTGTCAATTCTTCGGACGAGTGAGGAGAGTTTGGCGTCTGAAGATCTAACAGTGCTACAAGCAATGAATGAACAAATTAGGAAGACATATTTGGGTTAATTAGGATTAATAGTAAAATGTTATGGTTTTAGTTTTAATTTAAATGTTATTTGAGTTAAATTAGGATTTGAAAAAATGTTATCTTTTGAAGTTATGTCTTTTTTTTTTTAATTGTAATCTTAATTTTAGTTTTCAAATATTATGTATTTTTTGTTTTTTAAATATTATATTTTATAAAAATGTATTTCTTTTATTAATTTAACAAAACAGAAACGAAAAAGTAGAAAAAAAAAACAAAAAAACAAAACAAACTCGAAAAAAAAGACATGGAAAAAAGTTGATATCACATTTTGTTATAAGATGTAAACCACTTTCTCACTTGGTGTTATGAGACCATTGATGATGTGGAATGTAAGGTAACACTAATTTGGTGTTATATGTAGTTGTAACACTCATTGCTCTTAGGAATATTGTTATCCATTTATCATGTTTTTGTATTCATCTCTATGTGTTTCATGTATGTATTGTGTATTGAACATAATTTATTTTTGGAGAATTTTTGGTTGTTTTTTGTATTCACAAGGATAAACAAATACCTCGTTATATTGGATGATAAAAGAAGTTTGGGACATGATTTTGAATATTGGGGGCCGAAGTTAGAAAACAATAGATAGAAGCACAAAACGGTCGCATTGAGTTTTGGAACATGCAGTTGTGTTGAGGAAAATTCCAGACTTTTATGTTTTTGTCTATCCAATAATATGGTCATGTCATCGCGAAGACTACTTGTAACCAACACTTTAAACACATTTTTGGGTCATTTTGACCATATTTTTCACTATTTGGATGATTTTTGGAGGTTTTTTCAAGAGATTTCATCTATTTCAAGTTAAAAACATTAATATATTTTTATTGCAAGTATAATTTAACATTTTCTATTGAATATGTGCGGGTATATCACAACAATTCCAACATCAGGGTTTATATTTTGATCTTTGTTTCGAGTACTTATATCAAGTGGTTATGTTAGATCTTTTCGAATGGTTTGTTTGTATAAATTCTTGTATTCAATTCCATATTTTATTCGAATACATGTTACATTGTTGATGAAATTGGTTATTTTGTTAATTTTTCTAATAATATTCTTCAAGATTTAAAACCCGAATAGTTATAATTCTTGATTATAAGAATAAATAATGATATGCATGTTAAGCTAGATTAGAATCGCTAGAACTTAGAGTTGCATGTTAGCTTTAATATATGAACTACACTTATACTTGTTAGAATGGTTAAACATCTCGTGTCAATATAGTTAATTATTTTAAAGATCATTGTATCATAATTATTGATGATCATAAAGTTTAATTGTAACTCTAATCTTGGAATGCTTTTATTATCTCAATTTACTTTCATTATATTTCATGCTCATATTAATACATTTCCATAATCAGTCCTCATTATTGTGTTTTATTTAATATGTATCCCAAAGGACAAGAACCTTTGTTTTCATTTGTACGAACATTTGTTTGTTTATTAGCTTCATATTTTATCATTATTTGGTTATTTTATTTTGTTGGATACGACACTCAACAACTTTTACTTGCTATGACTTACTATAACATGTTAGAGTGGTCATAATAGATAAATCAATCATCTTTAGTAATATTAGTGAGAATTTTAACAATAAATATGATATTAAAACCACTAAATTTTGATAAAAAAAAAAGTTATATTGTAACCACTTTGACCTTTTATAATATAATGATTCATATCTTGTTAAAATGGTTGGTATTAAAAAAATATCAAATTTGAGTAGTAATAGTAGTGAGAATTTTAACAATAAATATGATATTAAAACTAATGGGCAAGATGAAAATCATTCATTATTTTTTCAAAAGGATGGATGATAATGAAGAAACACTTAATGAAAATCATGAGAGTAAATGCCGAAAAGCATCAACAAATGAGCCACAACTGCAACAACATGGAAATCAACAAGAGAATGACATTTTTGAAGCCACACAATCAAATCATAATGAGGTGGATCTTAAGCAACTAGAAAGAGATCCTGCTAAACGAAAACAAATGTGGGATTTCCCGGGTAATTTAAGAGAGAAGTAAGACGAGCTTATATGACGTTAGGACCTTTCCAAGTACGTCTTAAAGAGTATCATGCTAAAGGTTCAAAGAAACATCCTCGTAGATTCCATATTCTTGGTTTAACATTTTTCCTAATTGATTAGAATATTCTCCAACAATACACTCAATTTATTGTTTTATATTTTATATATTTAACGATAAACCAAGTGTGTGTCATGGTTATGATGCATTCTTGAAGAACATTGGTTGTTCACAACATAGAAATGCAGTTGCATTCGCTGAAAACTTGATGAACCAAGAAGAACACATTGAAAATATCATAGTGAAACAAAATGAAGCGCAAATATTGAAGAATTGTTTACGATTAAAAGCTTCGATTGACACAGTTAGTTGGTTGACGTTCCAAGCTTGTGCTTTACGAGGAAATGATGAAAGTCCCAATTCCAAAAATCGTGGTACTTTTCTCCAACTACTAAACTTCTAGCATCTTATAATGATAAAGTTGCAAATGTTATATTATAGAAAGCTCCTTATAATTCAAAGTATACTTCTGGAGAAATTCAAAAAGAAATTCTTAGTATTATTGCAAATAAAGTTCGAAAATATATTCGTAGCGAAGTGGGAGATTCATACTTTTATGTCATGGTTGATGAGTCACGTGATTAGTCTAAAATAGAGCAAATGGCCATAGTTTTGATATTTGTTGATGCAAAAGGGATCATACGGGAAATATTCTTGGATTTGGTTCATGTCAAGGATACCTTATCATTAACCTTGAAAACAAATATGTGGAGACAACGTTTACACTATCAATTTGATGTTAGTAAAATCTGTTGCCAAGGGTATGATGGTGCT